TGCGTGACCCCTACGAGCTCGCTGAGGCTCGGTGCTCGGCGGGCCGAAAGTTTAGTGGTACGTTTGCTTGTTCCTGTTTTTTCTGTGCCTGGTAGCCCTAATGCTGGGCTGGGACACCGGTCGGTCCGACCAGTGTGCAGGTTGGCAAAATCTTTGGGGCTCGTACACTGACCTAGGTTACTCCTTTGTAGGTTGTGGGCCCTTGAGTCTCGGGGCAATACTGGGGGAACACTCAGGAAAGGGCCCCGATAAATGAGCACTGTCGTGCTAGCCTACTGGACTAGAGAATGACTGACATAAGCAAGGCCGGAGAGGATGGAAGCGAATTAAAATATGAGACTTTAAGATCAGGAAAGATTTTTTGTTACTGTTTAATAATATTTCATTCAATAACTTGATTTTTATTACTTTTAGAAACATCTCCAAAGCCGTAAGGAAAAAACGGGCTCATTTATTTAAACAGGTGTTACTACTTAGATATCGTTGGCTTGTTTGTAATGATATCATTGGGTAGGGTGAAGTTTAAGCACCTTACAGTTCACCGTCTTATTTAATTCTCATGCCAATCTTGTGAAGATGGTAGTAGTATTCCTATTGATAGACTTGGCCCCTCGGTTGTGATGCCTAGCTTCATCAGACTTGGATCTAAGTGACTTAACTGTTTACCAGACTCCAAAGATGTGCCATGGATTCTCAAGGAAATTTACAAATAAGCCCCAAGAAATGTTTCTTGTAATGGAAGCGTAACTTGAACAATCTTATAGTTCACAAGGTGACTATTTTGGAGGAGCAATATTTATTTGACTGTAAATTTAGTGCACTAAGCCATGGCCGGCGTGGGTCAGTGGTTTGAGCGAACGCCTGTACACTGTAGGGTCGCGGGTTTGATTCTGGTCAGGGGCGCATACCTGGGTTGCAGGTTCCATCCCCACGTGCCAGAGGCAACCAATTGATGTGTCTCTCTAACATCCATGTATCTCACTCTCTCTCCCTTCCACTCAGAAAAATGAATGGAAAAAATATCCTCAGGTGAGTATTAACAAAACAAAAAAATTTAGTGTGCTAAAATCACAGATGTTTGTAATCTTCCCATTTATTTCTGCATGGCTATCTTTTTCTCCTGTTGAGTCTCAGTTCATGTCAGAAAGGCCTTCCTTAACTTCCCACACACACTCCATCATCACAACCTATTTTATTTTCTTCATAGCACCTATCATGGTCTGAATTATCTTGTTCATTTATTGCTTCTTCACCCTCTTACCACCAACACCCATTTAAAATGTAAGTACCATGAGAGAAGGCATCTTATCTATTTTGTTCATTGCTGAATCCTCAGTGCCTAATGTCAATAAATAGTTGTTAAATGAACAAATGTTTGAAATATTTTTGTTAGTATCCGACTTTATCATGTTCACCACAGAAATATAACCAAGCAGAAGACACTGTTTAAAAATAAGCCATTTATTATACAAAAGGAAACCTCAGATAATAGAAAATAGCAACATTTGGAGTAATAAAAGTATCAGCCCATGCTCCACTCCCTCTCCAGCAGCATAAATAAAACTGACTTCCTATCAGAAACTTTTACCACCAATAACCCCAAGCCTGCTATACACAGAGCCAACTGTGCCCTAAACCATAGAAAATCCACATTGCTTGCTTTCTCCATAGAGAAAATGGAGCCTTTATTTAAGCCCACATGGCTATTCCTGGTTCTGCTTTCCCTTATGGAAATATAGCACCTGGCTTACCCCACTCTTTTGTGAATACTTTTATGGCAATAGGAATAAAGGGAAAAAGTCTGGAAAGTACACAAAGCAGGCATGAGTCTCCAGCCACAATAATTCATAAACAACTAGCCCACTTTGTACATAGAAATGCTAAAGGAATGCCAATGTGAACGGCTGTAATTAGGAAAAGTAAGGATGATTCTACCCCTTGCATAAGCATCACTTGCCCTTTTTACTGTCCATAATGATATTTGAGTCCTAACCTTAGTTTGTGCTTGGATACTAATATTTTGCACTTGTATAAGCAGCATTTGTATTTTAACAGATTGCAAGCTTAGAAATCAGAGTCCTGAATTTGACTTTTTTGTGGGTCCCTACTGTATCAAATTTTAACATTAGCATTTAAAGAAAACTTTTTAAAATTTTTCTTTATTTTATTTTAATTTTTTTGTGGTACATGCCCCTAATGGGAACCGAACCCGGGACTCTCTGGTCTGCAGCTTGACGCTCAACCGCTGAGCCAAACTGGCAAGGGCATATTTCTTGATTTTAGAGAGAGAGAAACATCGATTTGTTGTTCCACTTATTTATGCATTCATTGGTTGATTCTCATATGTGCCCTAACTGGGGATTGAACCCACAACATTGGTGTACTGGGACGATGCTCTAACCAACAGAGCTACCCAACCAGGGTTAACATATAATAATTTTAAAGGTCTGTCCTTACCTCTTTTTCTTTTCTGCAAAAGACCAAATAGGTTAAGCAACCTTCCCAGGCTGTTATAAAGGGCTTTTTTCTTTTTCTTTTTTTGAATCCTCACCTGAGGATATTTTTCTATTTACCTTTCAGATAGAGTGGGAGGGAGGGGGAGAGAGAGAGAAAGAAAAACACTGTTTCATATCAACTGGTTGCCTCCCATAGGACCCGACCAGGGCTGGGGATGAACCACAACCGAGGTACATACCCTTGACTGGAATTGAACCCGTGACTCATTGGTCTGAAGGCCGAGGCTCTAACTGCTGAGCAAAACTAGCCATGGCATGAAGGGCATTTTTTATTAAATAGAATGAACCCTGGCCGGTTTGGCTCAGCAGTTGGGAGTGTCAGCTGGCGGACCAGTGAGTCATGGGTTTGATTCTGGTTAAGGGTGCTGTGCCTCGGTTGTGGTTTGACCCAGTACTGGTCGGGGATTGTGCGGGAGGCAGCCAGTCGATGTATCTCTTTTGCATCAATGTTTCTCTCTCTCTCCCACTCTATCTGAAGATAGATGGAAAAATATCCTCAGGTGAGGATTAAAAAAAGAAGAATAGAATGAAAAAGAACCACCCTGCCAATGAAATCCAGCCTAAATAATAGCTTTCCATCCAACCTGTGTGGCTTAGTGGATTAAGCATTGTCCCATGGACTGCGTGTGAGGTCCCAGTCTGATCCCCAGATAGGGCACATGCTGGGGTTGTGGGCAGGATTCCCAGTAGGGGAATCCAATAGATGTTTCTTTCTCACATTGATGTTCCTATCTCTCCCTTCCTCTCTCTAAAAAATAAATAAATAAATAAAAACATTAAAAAAATAATAATGATAATAGCTTTCCTTGGCCACATCCTTAGATGTTATAGTATTAAGTGTGGGACCCTAGTTGTTGAGGCATATACATATATATGCATTTTTATATCTGCTGGTAAAACATATATACATACATTCACACTAATTTACCACAAGATATACTGATAGGCTATGGAACTTCTCTGGAGTTAATTCATTAATACAACTTTAAAACCAGGGTAGCTATAAAGGCCAAGGTATTCTTCCCTGTTCCATTGCCCCAGAAAAAGCTAATGATCGCCCTGTTCATTAAGCTGTATATTCACATCACAGCAATAGAAGGGTTTGGCTACATCCCCAAATCTGACCAACAGCTTTTTAAATAAATATAATTTATTGAGTTTTATAATTTATTGGTGCATGAGCCACACCGGCTGGGCCTAACAGTTTTTTATTTAGCCAGCCACCTGTGGTGGCATACATCTCTTGCCTCACCTCTCATCCCCTTGGCCTTGCGTAGGCTCCATCAAAATGTAGTCTCAGAAATACTATAAAGTTGTATACAAGAGTATCAGTAATAGAATGAATGAAGTTAGAATATTCATCCCACTTAAAATGAAAAGAATATGAGATAATTACTAGAGATATTTTGCTGAGGTGTTTTTTCCCACAACTTTCATGACTCTTTGGGGGACATGGTACTTTTGTAACATATAAAAATAATAAAATAGACGGAAGACTTCATTATACAGAAAAGAGCAAAGACCTATAAAAATTTTCACTTTAATTTGCACTGGCCTATTTTAGTATTTAAAAATCATTTAGATAGAGATAGATATAGATATATCTACACATACATCTATATATATCTGTCAAATCTATAGCCAGTTTAAAACAGGGAAGAAGGGCCCTGGCCAGTTTGGCTCAGCAGTTGAAGCGTCGGCCTGCAGACCAGAGAGTCCCGGGTTCGGTTCCCACTAGGGGCACATACCAAAAAAAAAAAAAAAAAAAACAGGGAAGAAGGAATGTGGGAATGGTGGCAAGGCCACTGCATCTTCATCAGAAATTGTGGAAAACTAGGAAAGAAAAAAAAAAAAACATTTAAAATAAAAGGCTTGAATGCATAACCCATGGACAGACATAGTTCAGTGAAGGCCTTATTGGGGGGAGGGACGCCGAGTGGAAGGGGGTCAATGGGAGGGGGGCTCTATAATGCTTTCAACAATAAAGATACATTTTTAAACCCGGCCGGTGTGGCTCAGTGGTTGAGCATCAACCCATGCATCAAGAGGTCGCCGGTTCGATTCCTGGCCATAGCACATGCCTAGGTTGTGGGCCCAATCCCCAGTGTGGGGCATGCAGAAGAGGGGCCAGTCGATGTTCTCTTTCATTGGTGTTTCTATCTCTCACTCCCTTCCTCTCTCTCTAGAATCAATAAAGAAAAAAAAAATTTTAATGTTTGACATGAAAGTCAAAGTAAATGATATAAAAAAATACAACTCCAGCCCTGGCCGGTTTGGCTCAGCGGTTGGAGCGTCGACCTGCGGTACAGAGAGACCCAGGTTCGGTTCCCGCTAAGGGCATGTACCTCGGTTGCAGTTTGTCCCCGGCCCTGGCTGGTCGTGCGGGTGGCAGCCACTCGATGTGTCCCTTCACATCGATGTTTCTCTCTCTCTCTCTCTTCCTCTCTCTCCCTCCCACTCTATCTGAACAAAAAATGGAAAAATGTCCTCGAGTGAGGATAAAAAAAAAAAATACAACTCCAGACAACCAGAATACAACCCACCAAGAGTTTTGCTTTACCATCAATATAACCGTTTATAAAGCATAAGATATGGAAAAAAGATTAGGAAAGGTACTAAATAATAAGGAGTTTGAGAAATACCACATGAGAAGTTTTAAGACCCTAAACCTGGTCAGTCTTGCCTTATTTGTAGCCAAGTACTAAGGTCTTCTAATCATAATAGAGGGGATGAAATGGCTAGAGAAATAAGCAGACTTTTCTTTAAAAGTTCTGTTGGATCAGCACCTTGAGTAAAATGGGTGTTTTAGGCTTCAGTCTTCCACTTCATCTCTCCTTGAGGAGAGGCCCTATTACCACAGGCTGAGACGCTGGCTACACATCATTAGGACAAAATATCAGTGGGTATAATTGGAATCCCTTGAATTCATAATAAACTAGTGTTCATTAAGGGTTTGTGCAACGGATACCCCTCATGTTCTGTGGTAGAATGACTTCCATCTCCTTAGCTCTACCAAGTTAAAAGTTCTCACAGGGTAGTTAGAGATTTTGATTTCTTTTCAGGAAGATCGCATGTAGGTAATCCCAAAATTTCCTCTGTTGTGTCTCATTGTTGTGGATCATGGCAGTGAGAGCTTCCCCCTGGTCCAGACCTTGCCAATAATCTTGCAGCCACATCTCCTTCCAGCTGAAATATCAAAATGGGTGTTGAATTATGGAACCTCAGCACAGCTATGAAGCCAACAAAATCTTAAGCATATACTATGGTCTAGCACAGGGCTCTGCTTCAAAGGGAAGAGATGTAAAGTGAATCCAGTACTAGTCCAGGTGGCAGGCAGTAAGCCACAAACACAGCCCAACCAATGAGTTAAACTTCCTAACTTGCCTGCTCCTGGTTCCCAAATGTGGAGGGAGTTCAAAGGCAGGCAAGGCAGGGCCAGATTAGGGAAGCAGTTGTCTCCCTAACGGGTGGGGAACCTTTTTTCTGCCAAGGGCCATTTGGATATTTATAATACCATTCTCAGGCCATACAAAATTATCAACTTAAAAATTAGCCTGTTTGCCCTGGCCGCTTTGGCTCAGCAGTTAGAGCATCAGCCTGCGGCCCAGAGAGACCCGGGTTCGGTTCCCACTAAGGGTACATACCTCAGTTGCAGTTTGTCCCCTGCCCTGGTTGGGTTGTGCGGGTGGCAGCCACTCGATGTGTCCCTTTCACGTCGATGTTTCTCTCTCTCTCCCTCTCTTCCTCTCTCTCCCTCCCACTCTATCTGAACAAAAAATGGAAAGAAAATGTCCTCGGGTGAGGATTAAAAAAAAAAAAAGAATTCCCTCTGTTCTGTCTATAGTGAACCTAAAATTTATCCAAATCAGAGTACTTTTAAAAAATTTGTATAATGGTAATCTTTTTTAAAATCCTTACCCAAGGTTATTTTTCTATTTATCTTCAGGTAGAGAGCGAGGGAGAAAAAGGGAAAGAAAAATGAGAGCGACACATCAACTGGTTGCCTCCTGCATGACCCCGACCGGAGCTAGAAATGAACCACAACCGAGGTACGTGCCCTTGGCTGGAATCAAACCCAGGACTCATTGGTCCGCAGGCTGATGCTCTATCGCTGAGCCAAACCAGCCAGGGCTTAATTTTTTATTTTCTTTATTGATTTTTAGAGAGACAAGAAGGGAGAGGGAGATAGAAACACTGATGAGAGAGAACATCAATTGGCCATCTCCTACAGCCCCACTCTGGGGATCGAGCCCACAACCCGGGCAGGTGCCCTGACCCAGAATTGAATTGGCAACCTCCTGGTGCATGGGTTGATGCTCAACCACTGAGCCACACCAGCCCAGCAAATCAGGGTACTTTTAAGAGTGAAAGATGTTATTAATAATTATGCCAGACCTGGCCGGTTTGGCTCAGCGGTTCAAGCATCAGCCTGCAGATCAGAGAGTCCTGGGTTCGGTTCCGGCCAAGGGCACGTACCTCAGCTGCAATTTGTCCCGACCCTGGTTGGCATCATGCAGGTAGCAACCAATTGATGTGTCTCACATCGATGTTTCTCTTTCTCTCTTTCTCTCCCCCTCAACTCCCACTCTGTCTAAAGATAAATGTAAAAATATCCTTGGGTGCGGATTAAAAATAATAATTATGCCAGGTTAACAGGTATGAACCCTGACTCATGCAGACAAATTCCCTCCAAATACTCATCTTTATATCTCTCATCCCCACCTCTACCATATATACAAAAGGTGTTCGATAAATAGCTGAATTGATTTTCAGGACAGTCCAACTCCTGAGCCTGGTATTCAAGCTATGTATAATCTGGCACCACGTTATCTGTCCAACTTTGTCTTTCCCTCATCACTTCCTGAACAGGCCCTCTGCTCTGGCTGAAACCTTGTTTTGAGTTACCATTGCAAACACTGTCCACATAAGCTGATTTTTATATGTTGTTGCCTTGAATTATATTTTACACCTTTACTGAGCTTTTTATTTGTCTTATATCCCCAACTAAACTCGACACCTAAAGGCAGAGTGAGCCCATCTGATAATTTCCTTATACAACAGCCCCTCAGCACCTGGTGCTAATTCATTGCCCACAGTAAGCAAGTTAAGTAAACCATTTGATTTGATAACTGCAGGGGACCCCAGCTACCCTTACCTGTCACTCTCGGGAATCTCTTCCACACTACCAAAACCAGGTGTTGGCACTGGACAGTCCATGTGTGAGGGCTGGGCGATGTGAGGCTCGGGGACAGGAATGTCCCCTGGAGAGGCTGCGTGGGCTTTCTCTGCATCCAGCCTAGCCAGTTCATGATCACAAACGAAACACTCGAAGCCATTGAGATAGTTCGGCAATGAAGGATCATTCACTCCCCACTCCCGATGCTTCAGGCTATCCAGAAGGAACTGGTTGGTGATGCCCCCAGGTTGTTTGTATGCCAGATATTTCATATATTCCTCATCATTCTTGTCCAGAAAGTCAATAAACTCTGCCAGCTTCTGAGGTGACTCAAAGTCATCAATGAGGATGATAGAGTGATTGTTGGGCATCCAGTCGCTCACAGAAGGAGAGCCGCGATACACGGGTACAGAACCGAGATGCATGGGGCGCCACAGTTTTTCTGTCATGTAGTCATCGCAGATTGCATTTTCGAGGGCCAAATGGAACTTATAACGGGACAAGAAGGCCAGGAGCTCTGGATCCTCGGTGGTGGCTGTGGCTGTGTCCTGTAACCGTGGAGTGGGCAGCTCCCGATTTTGCAGGCATTTCCCATATGAATCCACCTGAGCGGGATAGAATACAGGTCAAGAGGATACATCTTGTCGACCTGGACACCAGGGGTCCTGGCCTTGGCCCCGCGCCCCCACCCCTCCTGGCCTGACCACGCGAGCACCCACCGGGATGTAGCGCATGAGCTCGCGCACGTAGCGGTCCCGGTCCGCAGGCACGTCGCAGTGAGACTGCAGATAGAGCAGCGGCGCGTAGCCGCGACGGCGCCACTCCGCACGTTCCTGGAGCGAAGGAGCCGCGTGGCGTAGGTAGGCAGTCCCCGGTAGCCACTGCAGCGGAAGCGGGTAGTCCGAGTGGCGGCTGAAGGTAGCAGTAAGATTGAAGAGGCGGATGCCCGGACCATGGCTCAGCAAGAAGTTGTTGAGGGGCGACTCCTCGTGCAGCAGCGCCCAGCTTTGATGGGCCAGACGGGGCAGTGGCGCCTCAGACGCACGAAAGTCGGTGCCGTAAAAGAGCAGCGCGCGTGTGCGAGAGTCCCTCCGTACCCGGCGGTCTCGGGACGCCACGCACGCGCCACGCGCACACTCGATGCGCTCGGAATCACCCGGGAAGTGGGGAAACAGCCCTGGGCTCCACCACAGCAGCACCGGCAAGTCCACTGCTTCCTCCCTCCCTGGCCACAGGGTCTCCGGACTCCGCGCCACCCCTACTGCGCCCAGGGCTGACGGCGCCCGGAAAACCGCACCATCCCATGGCTCCGCCCACTCTGCCTCCCCACCAGTCTCCCCCTCAGTTACGGGCCCAGAGCGACTGGCAGCACAGACACTAAGCACTCCCAGGGTGGCAAGCACAGCCCGGGTGCGGCTAGCCGCCATGTCCACTCTGGCAGCCAGCCCTCCTCAGACAGCACCAGACCCCGCCCTGTCCTGAATCCAATACAGGAACGAGGCCCTACGCAGCCGGGGCAAGTGGCGGGGCATGTGGCGCATGCGCAGCTCCTCAGCCGTCCACTTCCCAGGAGCTATTAGGCCCGGCAGGAAGTTATGGAAGGCAAGTGATACGTCGCCGGTAAAAGTGAGGCTGTTAGTTATATCTTAATTTATTTTATTTCTTTACAAATTAAAGATGCATTGAAAAATAAACCAGTGAAGAGAAATGAGAGGTCCAGAGCAGGGGCTTCCCAGGCTGGGAGCAGGCGTGCCTGGCCACCTTCAAGCCTAGCCCTTACCCTGCTCCAGCCAGTTGGGGTTGGAAGATACTGTCAGCCACTTTATCAACACCAAAGCCCAAGTGGTGTCCCGGGAGGAGAGAACAGAGCTCTGGCCACCTCTGCCTCTCCCCAACAACCCCCAGCTTGGAGAAGCAGTGTTTCCAGTGGGAACTCAGAGAGGGATGTGGGCTGGCTCTGTGAGGTATTACAAGTTGATGACCAGGCTTCCTACAGAACCATCCAGTGTTGGGGCCTCTCCAGCTGGAAAGTCTGGTACCTCTCCCAGGTCTTAATATACTTTGCAACTCAGTTTCCAGGCTCATATCTCTGACAATGTGCCTTAATCCACGGAGTGATCAGCAATCATTGCAGGAGAGAAAAAAAGCAGTGGAAGCAGAGGGCGCTAATCAACCACCCTCAGTAATTCTGGCTTGGCTGCTGACTTTCAGGCCCAAGAGCCAACCACTTTTCTCTCTACCACCTAAGATCTATACCCCAGCTCCTGTGCATCTGTATGTTTTATCCCTAATATAGGAAGTTGTTGATGGCACTGAGCTGAATTAACCCCTCCCCCCATAGTAACCCTGGGATCCCCACTCCTTCCTGCCTGTTCCCTCTTCTTGGAGGTTGGTCCAAAGGGACAGGATATCACCAGGGTCTGGATGCCTCCACATCCCCCAACACCGAATCATATACAGTGAACTGAGAACTACATTCATTACAACAGGATTAGCAGGAAAAGAAGGGCAAAGTGAGGGGATAGGGGCACCTTCCATCAGCAGGACATGACAGAGTGGGAGGATACTTGAGCCCAGAAAGGTGTCTCCTTAACCTCTCCCTCCCCCTACCACCCCCCAAAAAGACTGAGGTCAGCTTACATGACTTATAAGATATGGAACTGTCCTGGTTTCCCTGCGACCCTGGGGTACTTTCTGGAAGCTGGCCTGGGACCCTATGCCATTTACCCTCTTGCTCTAGCTCAGTAGCTGTCGAATCTCCTTGTGCATGTGACAGAGAAAGTCCACATAGGATGCTCCCCCACTCAGGCTCTTGTCTTCCACTAGGAAGTGCTTGAACAGCATCTCCAGCTTGTCCTCCTGTTTCACCACGATAAGCTATGGCCAGAACACAGGATAATGAGGCAGAGCCAATAGGAATGAAACATGCCCTGAAATCCAATTATTCAGTCAGTCTCCACCCCCCTTCCAGGAAAGAACTTGATGAGATAAAAAAAATCCAAGATTTAAATCAGTGTTACCTTCATATACCGCGATCTCTGTGCCCTTAAGTTATCAATGAGGCCTCGCACCTTCTTGGACAGCGGATTATCCAGAACTGGCAAAATACTCTGGAACACAAATTCATTTATCCTTATGGTAAGGTACTCTGTGTCCAATCAAGATTAGGCAGCACAGATTTATGCATCATTTGAAACAAGGAAGCCTGGGAAAAATGACAGCACCTTCCCTGCCCTCCAAGTGTTCCCTGCTATTTAAGGGGACCCGCACAGTAACTTTATCGGTTCTACACACATATTCTCCTTGATGCCCTGCCCTCACCAAACCACTGGTGATCTGACTGAAGGAGGAGACACTGAAGAGGCTCTGGACAACACCCTGCTGGACACCTGCTCCCACCCAGATGAAAAGGTTGAGTCCATTCTCCAGCAAATATATATCTCCGTTGCTTAGACGCTCTTCAGATGCTCGAATTGCTGGTGGTTCAGTGGTACTCTCAATGGGAGATTTAGTCTAGACAAAAAGAAAGAGGAAAAATGTTACTGAGGACCAGAAGACATGTTTACCAACCCCCGCCTCCTCAACACACACAAATTTCAGAAAGCTAAGTCTCTCGGTAATTCTCTGAAAATTATATCACATAACATAGGTAAGAACTAATTCATTAATGTCAGAGAGATAATATTGATCTTTCCCATCCCCCTTCTATGGTGCCCCTTTCTCAGTGCAATGTCTCACACTCCAGCCCTCAGTCACACCAATGGTAGGAGCCGAGGATAGAAGAAGACATTGGTCTCAGCCACGTCCATGGAGGTAACCAGCTGTCGGACATAGGCACGGTCATCAGTAGTGACTTCAGCTCCAGGCTGCAGGACATCACTCTTCAACACACAGTTCAGGTAAACTGGGAGTAGCTTCATGCACTCAGGAAGGATCAACTGAAGACAGTTATCAAGAGAGTCAATAATCATGAGAAATCCCTTCCAAATGCAAACATTTGCCCCAACAACTCCTCCACCAACATGCTTGTCCCACCTGTCCTGCAGAGGAGGGGCTGGCACAGTTTTTTCTGTAACAGGCCAGGATCTGGGCACACTGGGTGATAAGAGAGTCACGAACAGTCTTCACAGGGCTGTTCAGGACACCCCGGTATGCTGGATGGGAAATAGAAATAGCACAGTCACTGGTCAGCCACTTCATCACATGTGCCTTCCCACCACCACATCTACCTGGGAATGCTAAATCATTGACTGTCACCTTTTTCAGCCCAAATCCCACCCTGCCTTCCCGCTATCCTCACCAAACTTGGCCATGTAGTTGATGAGCGTGTCGGTCTCACAGTTTCGATACAGATCAGCTAGCTGAGTACAGCAGTTCAGGGCCAGGTTGTGTATGCGGAGCCGTCGCTGCCCTGCACAGCTGGTGTAGAGCAGGGCACACTAGGAGAAAGGAGAAAAGGGGAGCTCACACCTCTACCTCAACAAAGCCCGGAAAAAACTGCCCCTTTGCTATGTTATTAAACTAGAGGAAAGACATGAGCCATCCCTTCCCCAGCCTTTTCTAGTCCTCTTTACCCACCCCTCACGCTCATCCCTGCAGCCTTTTTATATCCAGTGAAATGAAACCTGAGACTTCCTCCCAAGCCCCTGCCTCCCTCCGGCCACCTGCAGGAGAGCTCCACTCTCTTCATTGAGCCGATCATCATGCTTGAATTCCACAGTCACTGTCTTGTCCCCATCCAGTCCAGCCAGCTCCACATCTGTGGTATTGCTCATGTAGAAAGCCCCAAAGAAATCTACTGCACGGATACCTGAGGCCACATGGACAGGGTCAGGGCTAAAGGTATAACAGGTGCTACTTGCCTCCCTCCCAGATTTAGCCCCCCACCTGCTCTTCTCCAACCAGGACTAACCAGTGCTTGTCCGGACTCGCATCACAGCATCAAAGCCAACAACCTTCTGCACATCCCGACGCAGATCACTCATGAACCGTTCCTGGTCATTCTCCACCTGCAGCACCCCAGGCCCAAAGTCACATCACAAAACATCCTGCAGACAATCTCCCTGCACCCCTTCCACTCTACAGGCTACTGAATCATAGTAACAGTAACAGTGAAAATAATGATACGGTGTTGATGGTGAAAATGATAGCTTTTAAGCATATTATATGCCAGGTACCACATCAAATGCTTTATATATAATTACTTAACCCTGATGATAAATCCTAATAGGTATTAAAATCCCATTTTACAGATGAAGAAACAGACAATAACTAAGTAATTTTCCCGAGGTCATATAGGTAGTAAGTGATAGGGCCAGAATATCAACCCAGGACTGATTCTAAGTCCCACACTCCCACCACACTCATGGCTCTCTTCTTTACACTATGCAGTCTTCTCCTCTAACACTATTCCCATAGATGAGTCAGTAGTTAAAGACATATAGGCAGATATTCCCAGTCCTGTTTCCACATGCCATCCAGAGTCCCATGCCGTACCTGAAAGCAAGCATATTTGTAGACAGAACCACCAGTGAGCTGGGGTACAACAGAGAGCGTGGCCACATCCACATACTGGTTAGGGAAGAGGAAGAGGTCTACACAGCAACCTTGGGCCACACAGTCTTTGGCCAGGGTCTGATAAGCACCTGTCTGAGGCTGGAACAGAGTCTGGGGAGGAATAGAAGAAAATCTTCAAATACCTCAGCTCCACCCTATTTGAGAACTGTTTATGTAATATGGAATGTTCAAATATATATAAACTTTAGATCTAGTCATAGGAGTTTGTAATCGTAGCAGAACTTTCTTTTTTAGAAAAAAAAAATTTACCCAGGGCTTTGTGATAAGATGGGAAAGGTGGGGAGCAGTGGAGAAGGTTGGCAGTCATGGATGTGACATGTGTAAGGGTAGAGTACCTAGTCCCAGTCCTGCTCAAGAAAATTAAGAACACTGTATTGCATTATGAAGAGTCACCACCCTCCTCTATAATTGAAAATCCTCCCCCTATCTCCCAGTCCCACACCTTCTCCTTGTCTGTGTTGATCAACTTCCTGTCATCTCTGTTCTTCAGTTTCCCTGGGGCCTCTGCAATGGGCAGGGAGGTGTGGAATAGAAACAGCTTCCCTGCACATTCGGCAGCCTAGGAAAGAATAGAGGACTACTTGTTCATTCTTTCCTTTATTTGTTTATTATTCATTCATCCCTTACCTTGTCATTTACTCACTGCCAGCTATGTCAGATAGGCTGACTCACTGGACAGTCATCAATCACTGAAGAAATAGGGGTTGTATCCCACGAGGTTCAATAGCCAGAGGAAAGTGAGGCAAAGGGGACTCTAGCCTTACCTTCAGTGCTTCCATCCCAGCCTGGATAACTGGGGCAAATACTGTCTCTGTCTCTCTTGTGTCTGCAAACATTTCTGGAATCTGATCCAATAAGCTAAAAAGATGGGTGATGGGAGGCAATCAAAATTACTATCCAAATTACAGAGTCCTCAATTCCCTGAAAAGTCATCTGGTCCTCTGACTCTGAAAACTGAAGCACAGCTTCTGTCCTTCCACTGACTCTCTGGCTCAACTCTCCGGCTTTCTATGGCTGTATCCATCCCACCCACACTTTACTCACAGTCTGGCTCTT